AATTTTATCAATTAAGCAAAAAAAAAAAAAAAAAACACAAAAACAGTAAATACGCTTCATTTTACTATGATGCACGAAATATTGAGCAATGAAAACCACAGTCGACCACCTTAAATACTATCTCAAATGTGCAGTAACTGTTTTTCCGCTAATGGGGAAAAACTTGCTCGTAGGAAGCAATATCAATTTGGGGGCACAGCCAAACATTTTCAGTTTGGGGGGAGGGGCACTACCAACTACCTAAATTCCTTGACAAGCTATAAAAAAGAAAAAAAAAAGAAAGAAGCCGGGCGGGCGGCATCTGGGATTTTTATTGGAGGGGCAAAAACATTATAGTTAGTTTTCTATAAATAGTATACATCGGCAAAATTATTGGGGGTGGGATATAAATGTCTTTGGTCAAGCCTCTTTATTGTAAACCACTCATTTATTCCTCGAAATGACCTCGATACAAAATAAGACCGTAGATGGAATACACAAGATTCCGGTTGGGGTTATAAGAGAATGGTAAAACCAGAGACCTCAGAATGGAATACTCGAAAGTCTCTGGTTTTATCCTACATTCGCTATCCAACAGTACAGAAACTTTATTTCAACCCGTACATGAACGAGCCCTTACATGTAACATATCAATTTGATAAAGATGTTATAGAAATTGCTACACATATTGATATTATACAGGCATAGTATACTCGCGCATACTGTAGTATACTGTAAACCAACTTTTATTCGCGACGACTTTTTTTCGCGATTTACTAGGGATAAACTAGTCCGCGACGATTAATTTTCCGCGATCAATCGGTTCGCGGCGAGAAATATACGCGATGACGAGTCTCTCGCGAACTTCGCGAAAATTTCTTGCACGCGATTAAAAGTTACAGTAAACCAACTTTTATTCGCGTGCGAGAAATATTGGTGAGTTTCGCGACCGACTCTAACTCGCGAATATTAATCCCCGCGAACCAATTATTTTGCTCAGTATGTTTCCTCCTTCTCAAAAATTGATCGTCGCGGATTGATTTCAAACGTACAAATGGCGAAGATGACGCGAATAATTGTTAGTTTACAGTATTTGCTGCTGACAGCAATTCAGACATGTAGATACGTTCACTAGAGAAGTGAGCATAATTTATCGGCGTTTAAATTTTATATTAACAAGTTCTTGAACTGTATAAGTTTTATATGAAGTAGAGTCTACATGCATTTACACATATATCATTATCTACCTTGATTTAAAAAAATTGATTTGTTTTGTAACATTTCATTAGGACTTCGTTACGTTTCGGTAGATTTTGTTTCGTTTCGGAAGATTTCGTATCGTTTCAGCTCGTTTCCTTTCGTTTCTATTTCATTTCGCACTTTACAGATACCAGCTTGCCACATTGTTTAGAGCGTGCTTAAAATGCTTAAATTTACCATAATTATCATCGACTGGATGTTTGATTTCAATAAATTCAAAACAACTTTGCATATTTATGAAATACCGCAGGAATACTTGAATCTCAATAACAATACAGACCAATCAATGAATATTCAGATAAGTCAGACGCGGATCTAGGATTTTTTTTTCCAGGAGGGGTCTTCCCGCTCAGCCATCATACACAAAAATACAGGTCTGTCTACCTGTGTTGACTTACTGAGAATGGAGTGCAGGTAGAGAACACAAGAAAAACATTACAGGTAGGTTATAGTCTGATTGGTATATAGAATTCATTTTTTAAACAATTTTCCATGTAAATAACTCTCCACCGTTGACACTTTCTATGTGGTAGGTTTGTTAAGGACGGTAAACACGGTAAGATTTGTATTAATATGCTATTTATGTTCATAAATAATTTTATGCCCATTTCTTGTGTATTGAAAGTGGGACAAGCGAGATAACTCTAATACTTTTTTACCCCACCTTTGATGTAAACATTTTATACAGTAAGGTTTTGATCTATTTGGAAGTTGCATGTAGTGATATTGGTATCACTGCAAGGTTTATAAATGTAAATCTATCAAACTACATTTTCATTTTTGTAATAGTTTTACAAAATTGTCTTTTGATAATAAATGACCTTTTTCAACTTCAAACGGTGTTGTGTTGGTATCAGATAGTGTAATATTACATCAAACAGAGCAACCTTTAGTGCTAGTATCAGGAAGATGGGCATAAAGATTTGTATTATAATACAAAATCTTACTGTGTATACACTCTTAATACAACGTATCATACGATTTTTCGAATCTTGTAAAACTGTATTAAGAATAGGGCAATGCTCTATTTCTTGATACAAGTCTTAACTTACCTTTCACTTTCAACCAAGCAAATGTACTCACATTGGGAGTCATCCTATTTAAGCATATGGTAAATAATAATGACGACTTTACAAGTAAAGACATCGAAAAACTCGTGATTTTATGGGAAGTGGAGGAGAACTGGAATATTTCAAACAATAGTAGTAGTATGATGATAGATACTGCTTTCAGAACCTCATCTTCCATCTTTTTTATTTTGACAGAGAGAGAAATATAGCGGGGGAAAACACGTGGGAATATGTATATTATTTACAATCTTATAAGATATGTATTAGCGTGAGTACAAGAAAGTATTATAGTAGAAAAACATTATCATACTTGTATTATACTATAATTATTATACAAATATTATACCGACCTTTAGGAATCTAATGTTAGAATAAATAAATTTATTTTTTTTACAGATTTATTCAATAACAAAAGTCGATTAAAATTAAAATAAAAAAAACATATAATTTGAAATGTAACTAAAAAGTGATGGTTTAACTGACATTTTTCAAGTAATCCATTACATTAATTACCTGTACATGTAATAAAAAAATGGTCTATTTCATATAACATCCCATTACTGTGATAACATGTAATGATTACATTCCATTACCATTATACATTACCATTACGCCCAGGTCCAAGCCTGATGTTAGTATAGTAGTAGAGCTGAACAAATTCTATGCCTTAAAAATAGGTATTAACTTCATCTGATCAAAATACAACAAATATGAAGAATCCTTCTTGGGGAAAAGAAAACAGGTACTGCCTGACTTCACGTGTTGTTGCTGACTAAAAATGCCTCACTGGCAAAGAGTAATTTGTGATTGGGCAGTATTATCGGGGTATTGCTGGGATTTCTTCTTTAATATGCAAAGTAGTATTGATTTCACTGAAATCAAATATTCAATCGCTGAATAATATATTAATCAATTTGTGAAAAGTTACTATGGTCGATTGAGCGAAATAACATGATGTTATTGGAATGAAGGTAATGCTTTTAAATGTTGAATTAATCAACTTTAAGAAAGAAGTAAATTTTGAACTGTCAACAGATAAAAATGAGTACAGAATTTTAATTTTCTGAATAGTAAATTTTCTTAAAACGCAAAACGGAAAATTGAGTTTTCGGTGCTTTATTTTCTCGTTAAATTAGTTTTAGATTGCAATGTTTTAGTTAAGAATTAAATGCTAAACTGCTAAAAATTCAAAAGTGTTAAGTATGCAAAAAACTGCTTATAAAAGAGTTTCTAAATAATAAATAGCTTGAGAATTCAAAGAAATTAAAAGCAAAGATTAATTCTAGAGCACTGATTTTTTAAAGCACATAATACATGTATATAAAAAAAATTAACCTTAAAAATACAAAATCATTTTTTTTTGATTTTGAGCAAAAATATTTAATTTCATATATTTTTAAAAATTGAATTATGCGGGGTAACACTCTTCTTTAAAATAAAATTCAATCAATGAAAATTTGTATTAATTTTTTAGCATATTGCTATTATTTGAAAAATAATGGAAATTAGTTTTTAAGAGGTTTTGAAACTTTGCAAATTTTTATTTTATTTTTTTTATTTTTTCCACACAATGAAGTTATTTATTAAGAATAATAATCACAGATTTGAAAAACATTAATCATTAATCATTATTTTCAATATTCGCAAAAAGCTTTTTTTGAGGCAATGCAAGCGTTTGAAGATAAATTTATGTTTATTTAATTTGCAAATTTAGGTTATTTTTCGCATTCTAAGTTTTGCATAAGTTATGTAATATTTGTTTGATCAATCACTTTCGTTATCTTCGCTTTTTTGTCTTTCTTTTTACTTTCAAATATTTATTAAACTAAAACTGCATGCAATATGATTTGTAAGAACTTTGCATAAAAAACAAATATATAAATGCATTAATTTACAAAACGTTGAGCATATATTGAGCATATTTACTTAATTTTGCATTAAATTTCCTAAATTCTCACAAAATTAACATAAAATTAGATTCATTTGCATAAAATTAAATTCATTTACACACATTTGCATAAAATTAGCATAATATACATAATTTTGCAAAATTAAGTTCATTTGATATTTTTATGCCATTCTTTTGCATTTATATATGTTTTTTTTACTTAATGGATCGTTTGTTTTTCTTCTATGTAAATGTGCTTTTCAAAAAGGTGTGTTGTTTTGCATTTATTTTCTTTTATTAAGTTTTTATGGTCATTGAAAGTATAATTTTTGATTACACGTATACCCATGTATATTCTAAAAAAAAATCTTTATATATTTAGTGTTCAAATTGATTAGTGATTCAAAATCAGAAATATTGTAATTTCAGTTTCTATACTTGCGTTTTTTTAACTGTCAATATGTCACGTTTTAAAATTAGGGGTGTAAAAGAAACTGGGTAGTTCTTTTAATATAAAAGAAAATGCATGTAATCTTTGTCTAGTCTTGAGGACTTCGATGTGCAGCGAGTTAAAGGTAAATTAGATGTATTTATTCAAAATAGAAGATATGTCTCACAATTTATTTTAAAATATTATCCTCTAAAATGTGCCTTTTCAACAAACAATTTTATTGGGTGTTAAAGTTTTTACTTTTGGGGGTTGGGACTTTTAAATATTGAATATATATAAAATCAAACAATTTTCAGACTATGTTCTTTTTCAATAATTTGTCTTATTAGTCATCTTTTAACAATTTAAGATGATGTCCAATTTCTCTGTTGTCCTTATCGTGGTAGTGATAACTTTTCACGATGGTCAGTGTTTCTCATCTGGGGGAACTGTTTACACCCGATGGGGCCGCACGACGTGTCCACCGACAGCAACCATTATTTATTCAGGTAATGGTTACTATTGACAAAATTGTCCAAAGCATATACTGATCAGGTAGAAGCTACTGTTTGTAAAAAAATGGATACAGACAGCTGTCTTAATCTATTCAGTTACTAAATACGATAGGTAAAAATTTCCCAAAGTCCGCAACCTTAATCTGCCCCGTAAGATATACTGTTTTCAAAAGAAATGAAAAGCATTTTTATGGAATGTTATTGTATCTTGCAGCTATGATGTCAGATACTGCCGTTAGCAAGTAAATTTACCAATATTTTAAATATGTTTCCTAGCTGACTGATAAATTGTAAGTCAACATAATTATTTTTCAGTTTTGCATTAACAAGTTGTATGTCTACATAATTAAGTTGCATGTTTAAATAATTTATCTGGCATGTAAAGGGCAAAAATTTGTTACTATAGTTTTCAAAACAGTTCATAGTTGAAAACTGTGACCACTTTTACATGTATATGTCAGAAGCCTTAACTCGGTTAAAAAATTAAATAACTTAGACCATGTACTAGCTTTGCGTATCGATAGTTGAATGACGTTACAAACGCCAAAGTTGACGATAAAAAAAACTGAAATCCTTTGTATTAGTTTAACAAATAATTGATATTAAATTCAGAAAAGGCATTGAGAGAAAAGTTATACAAAGGTAATAAAATGATATATAATTCATTTCTTCATAATTTAATCCTGGTTGTAACAAGCTTTTTGGTTGGATAGAAAAATTATTTTACATTGTATACCCTGAGTTGCTTACACCAGAGTAACTTAATTTAAAACTGGGGTCCATTAATACATTCCTTATAAAAATTTGGCTGTAACGCTTCGTTTGATTGGATAACGAATTAGTTATTATCGTATTGCCCATGCCTCACGTCAAAAATGTGTAAATCCACTTGAAATTCTTTATAAAATATCATATTATATACAATTTGAAAGTAATTTTGAGTAAGAAAATATCTAATTTCTAAACGTAATAATGGTAAGGAATGAATTTAACAGCGACACTTTTTCAAGTGTTAACTGCCCCAGGTTGCACAGTATATAACCTGAGTAGCTATGAAATTCATTCCTTTAATAAAAAATAAAGGATTACTTCGTCCTTTAGGTTATGGTGGAGGAACTCATCGCCAGCACCAAGGAGGTGCAGTTGAACCGCTCTGTTTACCGACAAATCCAGAGTGGGGATGGTGCCATAACAATGAGTCAGACTACTCCAGAGGACTGGTATATGGAGCTGAATACAAACTTTTCAAAGATGTCATAATGCCTAAGGCTTATCTCTACAACGGTGAAGTGCCGTGCGTGGTCTGTAGGACTCAAAACGACAAGTCCGTCTTAGTTATTCCAGGTATAGACATTTGGTGGTGCAATCTTTTTAGCGCTTTTGGCGGACAGATACATCCGCTAATTCAAGTACATCGCGAAATGTTTTAAACAATGATACATGAATAAGAATATCAAGAAATGCGCTAAATCAAATCTACGTTAACTTGTTTAAACATCACTTTCTGCTAAATATCGTACACGCTAAATATAATACATTCACAGTATATGGTTTTAAATGGTTGCACTAAGAGACATAAAACTAGAATTGTCCAGTTATAACAGCAGTTATTCGATTAGCATTATTTAGGTTTGTGGGCAAGGCGAGCTCACTATTGATCCAGTCTCAATTTTTCCAGAGGAATATATAGTAGAAAAGAGAAACTGATATCTGAAATGAGCTCATCTAAGTTTTACGGCCCCTAGGCCAGATTTAAATTTTTAAAGTTTCTATGAAAGTTTTAGACCCTATTTTGTATATTATTTGTTGCCGCTACTAAATCTTACTGTAAAACTAACCTATGCAGCTTTTTTGAAATATTTTGAAATCTCACACCAATGGTTTTTAATGAACATGACACATGTGCGATGATTCTATATCATACTAATAATTCAATGATACATGTTCCAGAAACATATGAAAACAACCATTTATGCATTCATTGTAATTAGACACGAGAATGCCTTTTATCATACATGTATATGGCTACCTTGTGATTGTTCGAAACGAGCTATAATGAATTTTAAGAAGCTTAATTCATCGACTTAAAAAGAGGGAACAAGTGATTCTGTGAAAATTCAAATGAAAGGACACAGAATTCCCATTATGATATGCAAATTTTGAAAAAGTTTTTAAAATTAAACAATTTTATTTTTGGAGTTTTAATTTAAAAAAAAATCCTTTGAATTTGAACAGATAAATACAGAATCGAAGAAATATTTTATTTTTGAAAGGTGTCTGTATGGAATTCAATCATGGGGTTTTCATTGAATATAGTCTAATAAGCATTATAAAAGCATTATAAAATCTTAATTTTTATACGAACTGATTTTTTAGTAAAACAATTTCAATGTGTATGACAGTCGTTTGAAGGTGAAAATAAGGAAAGTGTTATGAACTCAAATATTTGCATTATATTTAAAACCCATAGTAAAAGAGCCAGTGCTATTACAGGTGTTTTCTGGTATTCTTAAAATCGTGATTAGTTATGTTTTTGTGCAATTCTATTAGATTAAACACTTGGGAAATCTTTAGATTTCTTTTTCTTCTACTACATAATTGAAAGTTTGGGTTTGTTTTTTTTTATTATTATTATTTTTCTATATCACAGTAATGCCCTGTAACCTCTATAAATTAGCTAAGTTAATTAGTTTTTGCATCTATTCTTTTTGATGATGGACAAATAAAACAACTATTTTTTCTTTTAATTATCGATCCAAAAAATAAATTTGGAAATTGATTTCAAACCTAGACAACTAATGAATATTATAAACACTTTGAATAATGTAGAATGTCTTTTTCATATTTCATTACACACCAAAGCAAGAAAAACTTGTTATGAGGGATGGAAAGTAGAATACTGGGGATATCTGATGTCTGGAAAATACCGTCAGCCCTCTTCCTCCACCTTCACCTGTATGGATGCTGAACCTGAGGCTCTGGGAAGGATAGGACCGGGCTCGGGCGGTTATTTGTTCTATCCAACTGAAGTTAGATGCGGCCACTTGTCATGCCACACCTGCAGCAGTTCGAAATGCCCGCCCTACAAGGATGGAGCGGAATTACTGTGTGTCATTTGTTCAGAAAAATGAGAAAAAAAAGTGTCGAGTAAATATATATATATACAAAAAAATTGTATTTATACCATTATTTTAAAATGATCTATAGCTTTTTTTCAATTTTCATATCAGAGCATTTTTTTTTAAAATAAACTAGCTGTGAGGTATGTCATTTGTAATTGATTCATGAAGTAAGAAACAGACATTTTCGTTCTTTCTATTTTATCAGGGGCTATTCATTTTACTTTGAAATGTAAATAACTTTCTACTCTTGGGGAATCTATTTTTGTGTAATTACGCAATTTTTTTATGCTCGCAAAAATTACACTCTTGTGTATTTTATATCAATATACAACAAAGCTAAGGTCTATCGCTTATAAATACTGTAAATTCCATATTTTTCGCGAGTACTTATTATCGAGAAGTAAGTCTTTAGCGTCAAATCGCGAGAATAATTATTCGCGAATGAACGATTAATCTGAAGAGTTAAGATGAAAATTAGCACCATAAAAACAAAAGCGAGTAAATAAATTTCGCGTTTAATGCATCTCGCGAAATTACGCGATCATCATTAATTTTTCGCTAATTATTAGAAGTTACAGTACCAAAAAAAGCTTGAAAATCTCGCGAAAATAAAGTGTTTATTTTACTACTCGTGAACTCCCGAATGAAAGTGGGAGAAAGAGAACAAAGAATTTGCAATCAATATGCTCTTATTATAAATGGAGATAAATTTTATTCCCATGGTGTTTTTGAAAGCACACTAAAAGAAATTAAAGAGAGTACATTACCTAAAATTTAATCACATACAGAGTAAATGGAGAGATTTAAATATTTTGTTCAACAACAAACTGTTCAGTGTTGACAAAAATATTATGCAAATTTTTGTTGATTGTTAAACAAATCATGGATGGAAATACTTTATTTGAATCTTAACATATTTTGTACTGTTTGATAAACTTGTATTATACCGGTATTCGCTTTCTATGTCTTTGAATCTTTTCCATACCTCTTGTCTACAATGTGTGTGTAAATTTCTTAGAATGAAGAAGTGTTATCGTCAATGTCATTGCCTCGGTATTTGGTTTACATCTAAATTTTACAATTTATGAGCCTTTTATAAAGAATGAAAACATATTTTGGGTGATGTGCCTACAATGTACATCTTTATAGGGGCATAGACACAGTTTCAATTTTAATGTTTACAATCCCTAACTAAGGCAATTCTTAAGATCAGTAAAATTTGAACATTTTTTGTTGATTTACAAAAGAGATACAGAACTTGGAATTCTTCAAGATATAAACAAGGCTCGTGCCTTGTTTTTGTTTACATATAGGAACTATCATATCATAACGAAACGAGATTCGATAAAACATTAGAAAATGTCTAATTGTATTAAGAAATAGCTTCTTTCTTTAAAAAGTCTACTTTGGACGAACATATATAAGTATATTAACATATGTAAACAAAAACATGGTACATGCCTTGTTTACATAACAAAGGTTGGAAGCGCTATATCTGTCTTGTATCTTGACAACTGAAATTTAAAATTTGGTTGATCATTAGGAATACCTTAGTTAAGTATTTGAAAGCATAAAAAATGGAATGAAAATTTTTGGCCGAAACTGTGTCCATGCACCTTTAACCCCTTTTCATACCAGTACAAAACTTTAAGTTGCTTATACACTTAGAAAAACAGGTTGGAAAAGAAAGATAACTTGATTTATAGCATAATTCGAGACAAAATTCATGTTCAGGGGACATTCTATTACATATCGCCTTCCGCCTCTGCAAAGGGTATCATATACATCCCTACTAATGTGATTTAAATTCAAGACACGTGGCTTAGGTTTACCAATTCAACGTTTATAGGTTGGAACCGGTTTTATAAATAAAATTGGCAGTAAACGGGAAATTGCTATAGTCTGTATCTTCTGAAAATATGTCCTGTGAAAAATATGTTTCCAGACCTTTCTGAAGGACTTTCATGATTTTCAACAGAAATGGATGGCTTAAGTGGGGGGATGGGTAAATAACAATCAATACATCTAATTATAGTTTACTGAAAAAATTACAGCTCACTAGTTACTGATACGCTGGTAAAAATGTGTTTACAATATCATCTACATGTACACTGATAAACTTTTGTTTGCCCTATATGGTTATTGCTATTAATGCGCACAGAGGATCTTACCAAGAGCAACTGACCAATCGCTGACAAGCAACGTTTACGCCATGCAAATTCATATTTACATTTTACTTCGAACACGTGGTTCAGGTCAATCTATGATCATGTCAGTGGGGTGAAAAATAAAAAAAATGTTCTTATGAACAAAATGCAAACAGTAGAAACTAAGAAAGATATCACGGGCGTTTTTAATTTGTTATTAACTGGAGAAAAATATGTTTTATAAAATGTAAAGGTGGTTTGTGTCAAGTTCAGATCACCAACACTTCAAGGGTAAGGAAAACGAGTAGCTTCTGATATGCATTTAAATGGAAACAACATTTTTTACATAACTATACTCGTGATCACGTGTGCTGGCCAGGGAATCCACCTGACAATTGTATTCACCGATAGTACAATAAAGGAATTTATCAAGCGTAAAATTCCAGTAGTATTTGTAGTAACCCATAATGCATTTTTCATTCATCTGATTTGTCAGTTTAAGTCATATTGGTGCCTCATTTGCTAATCTGACGCCAAAAAATATAGTCCCGGTTCCCATGCAAAATAAATTGTATCATAGAGAATACTAGTACTTTAAATTTAAACTTGAATGAATTCAAGAAAGATCGATTGAAGTGCATTTCTACAAAATGATATTATAGGATGGTGAAAACTAAAACGCAACATAACTTTTCTGTTTACCATGTATCCACGTGCTAGTCACTTCCTAGCCACATTTCCTTGAATAATATAATTTACCTTTTCTCGCTGAAGTCTCGCTAACTCTCGCCAGAGCCACTGTCAGATCTACTCTGAACTCATCGGGTTTCATAATTTGCAGAACACCGAAAAATAAAAGGTTCCAAATACATTAGTAGATGTGATATAGCATTTTCCTTCGAGCCAGCGAAGCGAACCTCATTTTTTAAGAAGTTAAAAATATCTGTATGACGTGTGTACATGTATTTCCTGGGTACCTGTAGTATATAAGACACAACTCCACGTGCCAAACCATTCTTTTTCTTTGAGCGAGCGACATGTAGTCACCTGTAACACAAGTGTGATGTTCGAGTATTAAAAAATTGTTCAACTTAGAACATTGTTCAAGTTTGTTTGGGGGGTTTATGCTGTAAAAAGCTACATTCATTTTACACTTCGGTTTTTGTAAGTCAGGTCAGTTTTGGGTTGTTGAAATTTTCTTAAGCTTTGCTGTTGTTTTTTTTTCCGGAAATGGCGTCCGATAATGAGGACATGTTGTCTCTTAAGAGAAAGTGGTGCTGAAAAATTTTCAGACATTGAAGAACTATTTGGTATTAAAGTTGCCACCAGATGTTCGGCTATTAATTTCACAGATGACAAGAAAACTACTAGGGGGATGAAGCGTAAAACGCAGACCCCAGGTAATCTCAGAAGCAGGTAAGCACAGATACAAACCCTCAAATACTGTGGTTTCATCAATATTCGCTGAGCACCAATTTTCGAGGATTTCGTTGTTGAGCAGATCGACGAATTCAAATGTTGAATGAATTACGAAAGAGGTAGAGCCACTTTATGCATAAAATGGCCCTGTCCTTATATTAATTAATAAACTTCCACCCTTTTCCCCATTTCATATATCAAAATAAAGTAGAGACTTAGTGCTTTCATTTTCTAAATTAAAATTTTCTTCTGAGAATCAAAGTATTGCAAAACAGGTTTTGAGAAAATGCAATGTTTTTGGATTTTGCAGAAAAGATGCGTATTTTACTACCTTCAGCAAAGAATAAAAATATGAGCACATCCCACGATCCAAGAATTAAAACATGTTATTTAAGGACAAACGCAACGTACCTTACCTACTGATAACTTTCAAGATATTCTTGATTTTAAGATTATAGTGCATTAAGATTTTCTTAGACAAAAATTCAGCATGCATTACCAGGGGTTTTTTTTAGAAGATATCAAATTATGAAAATGTTTCAAAGATATTCATTATTCATTATGCATTATTCAAAGAAAAATATACAAAAATTGCAAAACATAAATTCCAGATTTTTTCCCCATCAAATTTGTTTTAGAAGAGGTGTATAAATCCATATACATGTATAGATATTTATTTTAATGCAATAAGTATTTTGATACCCCGGTTACCCATCAACTGGTTAATTTCTTTCCATAATCCTTTCAAAGCTAGAACACCTTATCTTATCCTCCTTCAATGAGTAAAAAGTCTGTAAAACAGTTTGTCGTGTGTTGCCACCTTTGTGACGTTTAATAATTTGTTTGAAATTCTCAAAAGTATTATTAATAATGACATATAATTTTTAGCAGACACAAGATATCAAGATGAGAAATAAAACCAATTTTGTAAAGGGAGATAATCCAAATTTACAGTAATTACCACTTAGATTTAACAGAAAAATCATGAAAATGGGTCTGAAAACGCTAAAACATAAATTTAAACAACAAAGAAATGGCGGAGGCGGGGCGGCAGGAGGTAAATAACAAACTTTGAAACAACGTCCGTCCTCCAAGGATGTAGATGGGAGAAAAGGCAGAGTAACGCACCGCATGGTCAGAATTTCATTTGTTAGATTTTAATTGGTCAGATTTTGATTGGTCAATCTCTGCCTCTCCTACCACGGTAAGACATGGAACAAAATTAACATTACAAAGCATGGCTATACAGTATTTCAGACTTTCACATTCAAGGAGGACACTTATTGATTACAATAAAAATTTTTAAGTAAACTTAAATTTATTTATTTTAATGCAATAAGTATTTTGATACCCCGGTTACCCATCAACTGGTTAATTTCTTTCCATAATCCTTTCAAAGCTAGAACACCTTATCTTATCCTCCTTCAATGAGTAAAAAGTCTGTAAAACAGTTTGTCGTGTGTTGCCACCTTTGTGACGTTTAATAATTTGTTTGAAATTCTCAAAAGTATTATTAATAATGACATATAATTTTTAGCAGACACAAGATATCAAGATGAGAAATAAAACCAATTTTGTAAAGGGAGATAATCCAAATTTACAGTAATTACCACTTAGATTTAACAGAAAAATCATGAAAATGGGTCTGAAAACGCCACTGAATTGACCGAAATAGGGAAAGTTCAGACCCATAAAGGAAAAATAAATGGCAACACACCTCAAACATAAATCATACCAAAAGTGAGTAAAATTTACAAACATGGGAATAAACATATGTCCCGTAATGCAATAAAACAACAATTTGAATTCACAAGTGTCTTATGAGGGATAAACATATGCCCCCATCACAACCAAATGAGTTTACTATTCCTAGTGTATTATGTCTGTGGGTCCCAAGTATTAACGAATCGCTATGTAGAATGTCCGATAAGGGATAAACATATGCCCTTATAGTCGCAAATCATCATCTTATTCGCTGTTTTTTACTAAGTTCACATGTATGTGGTATTCATTTAAGGACTGTCTCGAGCAATGTTATAGATGAGGGAGAGACATATGCCCCCATATTGGAAATTATTTCACACTGTAAGCTTCCGCACCATTTTAAATGTTTATATGCACGCGATCTTGTCACCTACCAGCCTAAGTATTAACAAATGACTTAGGCACTATTGTTCTGGATGAGGGATAAACATATGCCCCCATACGTTAATACTCTTGAAAATCACTTCAAAGTCGAGATCCTACACAAATAACAAAACAAATCTGCTCCGAGGATCCACTTCCACTCAAGCATATATCAACATGGTGTCACATGTCTTATGTAATATTTAAATGCATCCGATTTCCATCTACCAAGGAATCTAATCTGACTATCGCTCATCCCTCGTGATGCACAGTAAGAGGCCATTCCGATTCGAAAGGAATGTTCTTTGAATCTATTGACATCCAAATTACAAAACATGAGGCTTTGCTTTAATATGTTTGAAAATTCTTGCCTTGTGACTGCAGTGTTTTGGGGGTAGCAAAAAAGGGGCCCATCGGTCCTCCCTCTCATCTTAATGTAGTGTTCTAATGCCCCCACTGGACAATATTTTAAAGAGTTGCAAGAATTAATTGTAAGAGTAAAAACTTTACCATCAGAATGTTTATAATTTTGAAAGTGAATCAAAACTTTACTTTTTTGAAAAGTAATCTGTGAAACTTGTAAAACCTTATTAGCAGTGCCAACTGATGTTATCTCTCCTATTCTGAGGAAGCCATGAAAAGCCAATAAAAACATTGTTTGAAATAATGCCCTTTTATATATGTTCGATATTGTCTGTTCTAAAGCATCACAAATTTTAGGCAGAACTACTATGGTTATGGGTAAACGAATATCCATTGAAGGTCTTGATTTGCGACAGGAACTTAATAGTTTCTGAATGAGAAAGCATGATGTATTGTCAGGCAAATTATTAATTTTATGTATATATGCTATTGATGAAATAAATGACACGATAGAGGAGGCTGCATAACCTTCAGCAAATAAATAAGAGATAAACAAAGCCAAAGTTTCCTGATACAACTGAAGATCATTACTCATATCAAATTTGTTTGCAAAATTTCTATAAATAGACCATGCCCGTTTATATGCTTGAGTGGAAGCTGGTGCCAATGTTGAAGTCAACAGGTTCCTCAAGACTGGTTCTAAGGAGGTAATGTTGGCAGATTGGGAATCACCGTTGGTTCTTTGTCCATCCAAGGAGCAAGTTGATGGAACTGCTGCACCTTCAAACGAGACAAGCAGTCACATAGAATATTTTCCTTGGTACCCAGATGCCTAGCTTTAAACAAAATGTTAGACTGCAAACAAATTAGCACTAACTCTCTAACCAAATACATTATACTTTTTATAGGTACACCTATGTCGGCGCAAACTGTTAAAAATGCCACAAGTTTTTTGTGGCACTCTGTCGCAGATTTGTCAACAATTAGAAAATCATCTAATACATGAGTCATAAATTTAATTCCTAATTTTTCTTGTGCAATCCACTGAAGTGCTGTACTAAACCTTTCAAATATACAACAGGAAGAACTGCAACCCATCTGAAGACATGTGTCAAAATACCAATGACCTTGCCAAGTGAAACCAGTATTCAAACTGTGATGCATGTAAGTTGATAAATCGAAATGCATTAGAAATATCTGTTTTGCAACAATACGATCCTTTCCCACACTGCTTAATGTTTTGAATAGCATCCTCTACAGAAGAGTATTGAACAAATGACTCTTCCTCGGGTATGCCATCATTGACAGACTCACCTTCCGGATATGACAAATGATGGATCATACGGTACTCACCCTCTGTTTTCTTACTAACTAGACCTAAAGGGGAACAATTTAAAATTGGCAGTGGTTTCTCTTTGAAAGGACCCATAATTCTACCCAAATTTATCTCCTTTTCTAACTTTTTGCTAATAACTTCTGGTAAGTCCAGTGGCGATTTTAAATTTTTTGAAAGAGTATTTCTACTTTCCCCTGTGTAACCAATGTGGAACCCATATCAAAAAACCATTAACTAAAAATTCTGTTTCTACCTTGTCATACCCCACCAACCAGTACTCTAATCTACTGGGATTTACTGGAGTTGGACCCTTTTGTGGGATAGGTTGGCTTTGAGAATTTAGCATTACCTGTGTTGGTTGATGTGCCATTTCCTTGAAATGGTTTTTGGGTTCTGGATTTGTCCAAGAAACGAAATGGCCGTTGAATTGGTTTTTTACATATGTAGATTGGATGGAAGCCACCACAGTTATAACATCTGTGCTGGAATTTGCATGATGAACCAAGCCTACAATACCTTCCAGCTTTGTGATAGGCAAAGCATGACCCCTGAGGGACTTCCTCATACGCACCAAATGACGAACGGTCTGGTGTTATTTTGCTTGACTTCTTTTCTGATTGTTTGAGGCGAGTATTAACATATATCTCCATATGGACATCACCCCATTCTACCTCACCTTGTTCTATGAGTTCCCTGAACTCCCTATCATATTTTCTCCAGTCCCCCTTTTCCTCTGCAATTTGCCTTACTGATTCCATGTGTTTTGCAAGCTTTGGCTGTGCAAGTGTATCTTTAATGCAATATATTGTCACATACCTATTCCACGCAGTTACCCAGTCATGCAGGGATAACGAACCATCCCTAACTTCGTCGTCATCTGTGGATCGCATATTGTGGATTACCACCTTACCTGTCTGATCCTGTTCCTCTACCTTGATAGAATACTTACTTTTCCCCTTTTCCTTTTTTAACAACAGAGCCATATCAACATATTATTTTGACCAAATTTTAGATTTTATTTTGTCAGAAACAGTTGCCTCTATCGGTACTGATGAGCTTACAAAACCTGATTTCTTACCGACATTTGCTGCAGGTGGAAGTTCAGTACCTACAATCTGTGAACTGTGTTCGATTACAGCGCCTGATACCAATCCTGAGATACTTGCATCTACTGACTTATTTGTTATTTGACAAACTGACCCAGGTGGAAGCATTATTTCCCCTTTCTCCCCCCATATTATGAACAGAGATACTCCCCTGATGTTGCAGTAATGGTTTTATCTCTGCTAACACCTTCTCCGTGACTGCCTTTGTTATGGTTTGGGTTAATGCAGCCAAGGTTTCAGGAGGAACATCAAGGGGTTGAGTGCTTGTATCGACAGCCACAGCATCATTGGTAGTGGACTCTCCAGTTCCGTTATGTGCACGTCGTGGTCTTTTCACCCGACTTGTTTTGGACTGTTGGGCTTTATTCCTTTTGCCTGACATAATGCTGGTAAATATATACCTATATAAATTTAAAATTAAGGAAGAAGTATGTGTCCAATATATTATGTTATGTATAAATATAAACCGTAAAAGGCTTCGGCCTTAATTGACAATGAACAAGAATTGTAAGACCTCACTGTAGCCAGTGTAGGCCCCAACGTCAGAGTCAGTTAGCCTACATGACAACGTATTTGAGCATATTGATATTTAACATTACATTATATAACCACTTTCATCGCTCAGTACAATGTGTAAATCTAATACAACAAACTAGAAAGTGATGAACCTTTTCTTACAATTAATTTTTTACTTCATTGATTCTGCCGCTTTTCGATAAAACACCCTGTATCACCTACAGTTGTTGACAAAAATTTTCCGGAAATAGAGTAAATAGTAGAACCAAAAGTGTTTTGGAACAGATCTGTATTTCCCGAATTGCCGTAAGCCAATATAAAAGCACCCATTGTGCGACTGCAAAAGCCATTAGTCAACATCACTAAGCCGATGCTGATCAGTAAGAACTATCAGCCACATAAAACGAAAAGTTGACATAAGTTATAAATCACCACCTTTGAAGCCGACAACCCTCGCACCGTGTCAAATTCCCAAGAAGGCTGTAGTGCCTTTCCCACAGATAACAACCTGTTCGGCTGTTGTTAATTGTTTTCATCACTACTACAAACGAGGTACTTGAAGGGCTTGTAATGTATCTAAGCGCAGTTGCAGAACAATAAAACCTTAATAAATGAATAATGAAAAACAACTATTTGTACAAGACTCAATATCATATAAAGGGGATAGCAAATACAAACAGTAAACTTGTACCTTCAAAATGAAATGCGGATTTTTTTTTTTTTTTTTTTTTTTTTTTTATAATTTTTTATTATTATATATATATATATTTTTTTTTATTATTATTTTAATTCCTCCATAATCTGGACCATTGAATCGAACATGATTAGGTAAATCAACTTGAAGTGAAATCGATATAAAAATCATCAAGGTAAAAGTGGGCCTAACATGAATTAAAAAACCAAAACGGCTAAATGTCAAGTACAAAATACTGCCTGAAACTTGTACCTAGGACTTGCCTAAAGTACTGTAAAAATTCACAATATTTTAGTAATCAACTAATACCGAAACAAACAAACTGGCAGATATTTTTCCAACAAATTGTTTTCTTTTTATACAGAAAAAGGATAAATCTGGAAGGCATCAACATGCACTTCTAGACTTATCAAATAAACAAGCGATGGAAAATAAATCGCCGGGGTAAAAGTTGAAACTAAAATGAAAAGACCCGCATGGGTACAAACTTGGCAAGTACAAAAGACTGCCTGAAACTTGTACTTAGGACTTGCCTAAAGTACTGTAGAATTTCACAATATTTTAGTAATCAACTCATACCGAAACAAACGAATTGGCAGACAATTTCCAACGATTTTCCTTCACAGAAAAAGGATAAGTCAATCTGGAATGCATTGAAATACATTCATAGACATCAAATAAAAACCGATGGAAAAAATCGCCATCTGCATGGTAAAAGCTGAAACTAAAATGAAAAAACCCGAAAGGGTTTAAACTTGGCAAGTACAAAAGACTGCCTGAAACTTGTACTTAGGACTTGCCTAAAGTACTGTAAAAATTCACAATATTTTAGTAATCAACTAATACCGAAAAAAACGAATTGGCAGACAATTTCCAACGATTTTCCTTCACAGAAAAAGGATAAGTCGATCTGGAATGCATTGAAATACATTCATAGACATCAAATAAAAACCGATGGAAAAAATCGCCATATGCATGGTAAAAGCTGAAACTAAAATGAAAAAACCCGAAAGGGTTTAAACTTGGCAAGTACAAAAGACTGCCTGAAACTTGTACTTAGGACTTGCCTAAAGTACTGTAAAAATTCACAATATTTTGGTAATCAACTAATACCGAAACAAACTAATTGGCAGACATTCTTCCAACGAATTTACTTCACAGAAAAAGGATAAATCTGGAATGCTTTAAAATACATTCCTAGATATCAAATAGAAAAACGATGGAAAAAATCGCCATCTGCATGGTAAAAGCCGAAACCAAAATGAAAAAACCCAAATGGGTTTAAACTTGGCAAGTACCAAAAAACTGCCTGAAACTTGTACTTAGTATTTGCCTAAAGTACTGTAAAAATTAAACCAACAACGAAACAATCAAATTTGCTGATACTTTTTCCAACCGAATTTTCTTCACAGAAAAAGGATAAATCCGTTTTACATTATTAGACATCCTAAATGCCTATCGTACTGTTAAAATAACAAAATGTATAATTTCAAAGAATATCTATCTGAAAAATTGACGAACAATAAAAGTAACAAAATGGTGACAAACTTTTATGACTTAGATGTATATCTATTTTCTCGCTGAAATTAAAGCTCCCCTTATACTCCTATATAAATGAACATTCCCCTGACTGTTCAGATGAACTCCGTCGTGAACAAATTTACGACTGCAGTCTCCTTCACGGGGAGAAACGAAATAATTCCCATGTTCCCAAAATACGCAGTAACCCAGTGCTGGCAATGCATCTCTCAATATTGCGTTTACTTTGTCTGCAATATTATTGTACCCAAAACGAACACCAAATCGTGGCAATAATTTACAAACAATTATTTTTGCAACTTTATAGCGGCGATGCATTACCGATACCACAGATTCAATTTCTGCAGCTAACAAAGTAGCGTCGGTACTAGGACTAATATCGTTCTCCCCAATCATTAGAACAACTACATCTGGACCTAAAGCAAATACGCTCTCCATATCCTTAGATATTACATCACGAACCTTTCTTCCACCCACACCCCTGTACAGAACGGAATGCGTTTCTCCCAGACCAAGGCTCGCAGAATACCTAATGTCACCATATTTCAAGAATTCATGAAAACGACGCACAATTGAGTGTCCAAGAATGACAACTGAAGTTTTACTCATAGAAGACATAATGAAATAATTTTACTCACCAAAATC